AAGGTTTAGCTTCGGTTTAGCTTTAACCAGTTCTCGCAACGTTTTAGGCGTTGATTCTTTACACTTGCCAACGCCTAGTAGTGTTGCAGCAACGCCTCAAAACGTTGCGCAACATGATTGCGCGCGGCAACGCCGTGCAACGTTGCTGCAACGAGCGGCTAAAATTCCGATTGGCATGATGCAACTTGAAGTGGCAGCATTTCGATGATGCAGCCTGTAGCCGTACTGACCAACGCAATCCTTTAAGCATCGATTGACGTACACTTATAACTAAAGCTGGCATGCATGTGGTGACGTCCGATTTCAAAAGAAAGGTGCATGATCGGATTAGTATTTGAGATATAAGTTCGACCGACCAGACTGTTGCCGCTCACCAATTTACAAACCAATGATGCCGCCAGTGAACGCAAGTTTTGTACATGCCCGCCTTGAACGTGAGCGCGCTGCCCGTGCCGCATACTCAGCGCAATTGCTGAGACTCTTGCAAAAATTGAGCTTTGCCAAAGAATTAAAAGGGATTGCTATGTTCGGCAGCTCTACATCATATTTGTCTTTACCACATACCGTACTAAGATTTCTCGTGAAGAAGTAGGGCAGACATGTGACATCACGCGCGCGTGTCTCGTTCGCCGCGCCGCGCAGCCTGGAATTGAGTCCGGCTCCGGCCGGTACGGAAGCATTGAGACAGATCGGCATTCAGAACTTCAAGCGCCGGCCGCGGTGTAGCTAGCGTCTGACACTTCGAAGTAGAAGGGCGTGCCCGTATAGTTCAGCGTACCTGCATTCGAGAGCAACGGACGCTTCACATAAGCGTCAAGCGCTTCAGCACCCTGTGAAAAGAATTAACGGCTCAAGCTGGAAATGGTCATCATAGCTCAACAGGTTGTTTGTGGGCCACCATTCTTTTCAGACAAGCTTTCTGAGAAAATGTTACTCCGGGCTTCTATGCTTTGGTTGGGATTAGCGACAGTTCCAGACACCATTCTGGTTTGCCGTGGCGGAAAATCAACTGCGTCTGATGGGCAGCGTGAGCGTGCAGTACTTTGGGCCGATCTTTTGCCGACGGGTGAAAACAGGTTCAGAAGGTGAAGAATGGACATGACGCTGACACTTTGAAGGTCGTGAAAGTAGCTCAGCCTGTTTATCGTTGACACACATATCTGCTGAAAAAAGCTGCTTCTGAGACAAGTACCCATTGAAAGACGGCAGTTGATCTGAAAGTAACTGAAATACCTACGATGTAAACCATGAGTCTGAGAGTAATTAAAACGTCGAAGTCAGTAGGAAGATAACTCCATGAAAGGGTCGGTGACGGAACGTTCCGGCCCACCGTCCATCCGCAATAGACGAGGCATCCCAGATGACAGCAAACCTGCAGCGAAACGCAGTTGCAGTCGGGAGTTGCCAACGTCGAACGTAAACTCACACGACAATAGAGGGGCTCCATTTGATGCGAAAGTTGTGCGGCGCGGCGGAGCAGTCGAACCCCAGGTCCACAACTTGCTCGTTGCCCCCTTGGCCGTATTATGTCATTCTGGTGACATCATTGAGACGTGGGCAGTATAGCAAGCTTAAAATGCCTACAAGATCAGAGCGCAAGGATGTTCACCGAGTGGATCAGCTGTCAAAAAGCTGTAATCAGCTTCATTTGGAGATTGTGGAAAGGCGCCATTGAAGTCCGTTCTGTCTCTTTCCGACCCACTGTAGGAGCACAGTTACAGAACTCACCTGGATAATCGTTTTGTCCCGACCCAGGAACTCAAAATCCAGCTCATTCTGTAGCCACGTGGCGCCTCCTTAGAAGGTCACGCCAGCTGAAGCGGGCAGAATCTATGTGCCCAGCGTTCGAAGAGAAGGACTTATTCTTAAGAGAAACAAACGGCGTCGACTTGATGAGAGGGATGACCGCGATTCACAAAGAATGTGCTTCATTCAGCTGCTGCCCAAGATCTAGAGAAATGCACATTTCGACAGGGTAAGCCCCCTTTTCGCGCCGGGGCGATAAACGGCTTCCGTCAGACAGTGCGTTCATCAGACGCACGTGAAAGGTTTCAAAATGCCTCTTCTAACGGCAAAGAAACGTATCATCAATGAAAGCAATAGGAACGCTTTTAATGCTTCTTACCTGATCATCAGACTCGCCGCTGCACGCCATAAAGC